AATTTATGGTCCTTGGTTTTAGAACAAATATATATTTCCAACTATCGGCGTAAATATTATTGTTTGATTTAATGGATGAACATTTTAATTGAAATGTTTCATTCATACAAAATTGCGTTGTGGGGTAATAGAAATCAATAGAATATATAGAAATATACGTGTTAATAGAAATTTATATATCTATATATATATATATAAATTTATTTATATATATAATTTATTTATATATATATTCACTTATATCTATGTATATATTTTATATATATATTTCATTTATTTATTCATTTAAATTAACGGGTCGCCAACTGCTAAACATAAGCGTTCTTATTACTAATTATAACTATGGCTAGTGATAATTTATAATAAAAATCTTCCGCGCCTGGACTTATAGGTGATTTCATCACATTTAGTGTAGCGATAAGACCTTAAATATAAAGCATTTAAGAATATAAAATTGAAATGAAATTTTTTTATTTTATTTCAATTTGAATAACGTGTTATCGCAACATGAGAGAGGGGGGTGCGAAAAGAAGGAAATTGTCAGAAATAATTTATCAAAGAACATCTTCGATTGTTATTAACCAATTTATGTCCAACACTTGACATCAGGAACTGTTTGGCGACCGAAATTAAAAGTCTCGAAGTTTACTCTGCTTAACCAAACTATTGGCACCTTTTGTAAATCCATGTGGTCATGGAATTACATTGCTTTAAGCCCTGTCTTAAGAAAAAAACAGGATAGGAAGCGTAGCAAGCGGGGCAATTTCAAAGTTGATGCATGCCTTGTTAGAGAAGAAAAGCGGGTTGTAGCAATCCAAATCCTTACCCTCTTGAAATATAAAGCGATGTTCTGATGAAAGGCCAATTTTGCTTGCGTAGCAATATAGCTCCTTAGAGACATTAGGCATTTCAACAGGTGATATAGGAATAAAACTTCCGTTTTCGCAAAAACAAGACAGTTAGAGATATTCCATCGTAGCTGGGACAAAAAATATAAAGCAGGGCTCGAATAAAAAGTTACGAATGTTGTAAAATTATGTATAAAAATTGTCGACTTTAGCGTATTGACGGGATCACATTGCAAGGAAGCGCTTTGGTCTCTTACTAAAATCGATGTTGATCTCTCTGTCCAACAGAAAATTTCTTTGTTTTTTTTTCTTTACGTTACAGTAACACTTTGTATTGCTACGCATATTTATTACGAGTTCACCTCAACTTGTCTTACCCGGTGATCCTGACTATTTAGCTCTACAAATAGTTGATAGATGGCATCCCTTAGCCGTTTTCCCTGAATGACTGAAAGGCCCGTAGGATTAGACGTTCGTTAGCTTCGTTAACAATCCCTACATCATGACTACAGGCGTAGGGGAGAGCTGGTGTAGCTACGCCGTCAACTCGGATTAATCACTTCAACGGATAGGTGCAAAATATAATAGGTTAGAGCCACAGATACTTCCTTGCGTAACACAAAGTATTAGGTTTCAGAAGCAAAATACATGTTATGGGCTAAGCTTATGAACAGCGAGTCCGAAATCACAATCGGTTGCGGAACTAAAGTCGATCTTTCACATCGCTTTGCTGGATATTGTTCTCTACAACCTTAGGTCATTAAGCAATTTCTCGCTTTTAAAATAACTCTCTTACAAACATTCTCTCGTTATTCCAGAAATTCCTTGGAAACCGACTTTGCTGAATTTCGGGCTAAGGAACCCGGCTAAGAAGCACCGTTTTATATTGTTGTTTGATGTTACTGCTCCTACTTCTGCTGTAGTTATGTTTGTTACTGTGACAATTGTTGATGTCTGTACAGTTGCAGCAAATATTATTGCCATTGTTTTATTTTAGCTATCGTTACGGTTTATGCATTTATTGCACTAGTTGTAATTGCAAGGGTTGCTGATAATGTTGTTCATTATATACCCACCTATGCAAGTGTCTCTCAACATCGACAAAGATTTATATTGTTGTTGTGTGTTGTTCTTACCGTTGCTCTTTAAATTTTTGTTAAAATTGTTGTCGTTATTCCTGCTATTATTGCCATTATTACTTCGATTGTTATTGTTGCTAATCTCTGGTGTTACTATCATTGCCCCTGATTATTGGCATTGAGAGCTTGTATCTCATATATATTATAATTAGGAACTTATTCATATTGCTTTGACCTGAGGAGAAATGAAAGCAAGTATACAATCGGTTAACTTTTTCTAAAAGGACCGTCCAACCTCCAAAACACTTTTGGATAAAAAATTACTTGCAAATGAGGATTTCATAAAATAATTCAATATTTTAATATTGACGCGTTACAACGGATGTTTGACTTTCCGAAGCGTGTCGCCATCAGATAGAAGTAAATCAGGAGAGTACCGTTATTGCGGACTGAAAGTCACAAAAAAAAAAAGCATTGCGAAAAGTTGAATTATAGTGAAATGTGTCCGAAACCCAATGGATATTTACAAAATATCAACAAGAATTTATATTATCATAGACACTCTTTGAGCAATAAATCCTTAACTCCTTAACTGCTAACGTTGTCTTGGTCGATAGACGTTGAAGAGCAAGCAAAATCTTCAACGCTCTCTTCACGAATCAAAACTCCTGGTATTTTTACAATATCCAGTAGGACTTGGATAGGATAGATCAACCTTTTATTATATCATATTCAAAATCACTTTCTGAATCGATCTAAGCGTATCTGTTCGTCTGTCCGTCTGTCCATCTTGTAGGTTTGTGTTCAATTTTTATGATATTTTAATGAAATTTGAAGACTTGAATATCGCCTAGAGGTCGATTCGACATAATAATTACTCAGCGTGTCACGTAACATATGTATCGGGGTATCGGACCGCCACAAAAATAATTTGTTAAAAGACATTTTATAACGAGCTTTTCATAAGTATTTTCGAAAAAAAGGTTTTCTTATACAGAATGCAGAAAAATATATTTATCTGTAGCATATATTACATACAAATAGTTAATTTAAGATATTATCATTTTTTTTATTTTATTAAAAATTTTAATTCGATCACATGCATAAATCCCTTAAAATATATCATATAACTGTCATATTACTTGTTTGCATGCACGGTTTGATAACTGTAATGTTGCTGCATAGTGTCAATGCTATTGCGTACAATCAACTGACATTGATTGACGTGAAAAATTTCACAAGAATTTATATGAGAATGAAAATAATAATGAAAATATCTAAACCGTTAGCATGACCTTGTTTTTGTGAACATTTCTGAAAGCGTATTTTAAATTTAATATTGTCAAACTTTACATAACGTAAAGTTAGGCGAATTTCTTTTTTGCACCAAAATAAAATTGACAACATAAAGTGAGAATATTGAACACAGCGCGGGAAATAAAAACAAAAATATGCAATCGTCACCGCATATGACCGTTCGTAACGAACATAATTTTACCTTGTTACGCAAAAATGGTTCCGCTTACAGCCATTTATATTAGATAACAGTGGCACCCAAAACGCGGCAAAAGGTACGATATCAGATCGCAGATAGTTTATGTTACACGTTGGTTCAAATAAGTTTAAGTTGGAGTATTTTCGCGTCACGGTATCACTATCATAGCTATTTAACCTGTGTACCAGGCAATTCTTTCCTTCCGTCTGAAATTCACGACAACAAGGAACATACACAGGAGATGTGGACAATAACGCGTACGGTTAAATCGGCTCCAAACCAAGTTCGCAACTGAATATTCATCGTCGACATGTAAATAATATGCTTATTATTTGCAATGTTCCCAAAAAAAAACATCAGAAAGTATTATCGTAATCCTAAGTCATCGACGTGCTCGCTAGTCTGTCAATCTGTAACACGCTAATGGAATGAAATTTGAACATCTCTGCGAACGAAAGACTGCAGCTTGTTACTTATATCTGATTTTTGTTCCTTTGCCTTATATAAATTTTTTAAATTACTTTATAAAGTTTTTAGTGTAATTGTATTCTTTATTAACCAAATTACATCCGCCTAATTAACATTAAGTTTTTGCGGATCGTTGCAAGTAATCAAAGAGGCTTGAGATAAACCTCTTTATCCATGTTTTTTGGACAGAAAATCATTCTTGTCCATATGTCTATCTGCAATGTGTTCAATTAACAGACCACATGTTATTTAAAAAGAAGATGGATTGAATCGCTTTCTTACGACAGCACCTCATATAATGCCCCATTTCGAAGACATAGTCATATGAATGGAGAGTAAAATTTGGCGTAGTAAATGCGAAAATGTGGAAAATTTGGATCGAATGCTCTATGGCAATTAAACATTTATTTATTTTTTCTTTTTTTTTTACTTTAGAATAATGATTTGACTTATAAATGCACAATGTAGGTCCATTCTTCGGAACCCACCCGTGGAGCGATATGGAAAGAAGACATAAGTTTGGGATTTTATAAGAAAAAAAAAACAGATAAAGAATTGCATTTAGCGAATTGAAATCGGGTATTTAATACCCGACCTTGTCCGTCGTGTATAACGTTTCAAACCTATTTTATCTTATTTAGCTATGCATTCAACCATTTCCTCTCTACTACTACTACTACTACTACTACTTCCAACTATTAGGTTTGACGTTCGCATAATTATTATTATTATTGTTATGCTAATTAAATATATCTAAGAAAGATGATAATTTTCAAAAAAACAGACTTATTTATCGCAATTGTCCTTTCAGGAAATAATAATGATAAAATGATTGAACCGATGATTACAAAAATACTTTGTATTGTCAATGTAATCAATATTCTCAATCATAACCTCTAATTAAGTTTTGTAAAAACAATATGGAGCAAAAACATTACATATCTCATATCTAAAATCAACTAATCCCTATTGAACGGAATTATAATTGCAACTGAATGGACATTTCAAACGAAAAATTATATAAATAAAGTAAAAAAAATAATTCTCAATTATTTTGTTATCAATCATGATAAATATATATATATTTTTTCTATATTTTATTATGATCAGGGTGCTTCCTCGAGTTTGGTAGTAAAATTTGCTGACACTGAAAAAGAAAGACAAATCCGGCGAATGCAACAAATGGCCGGCCATATGAATCTTTTAAATCCCTTTGTTTTTAATCAGTTTGGTCCATATGGAGCTTACGCTCAGGTAAGCTGTAATTTTTTTCACACAAATTACTCAGAAATTTTAAATAATTTTTGTTTTCGCGTTTATTTGATTATTAATAGCAACAACAAGCTGCTTTAATGGCCGCCGCTGCAACGGCACCAGGCTCATATATGAATCCTATGGCCGCCGCTGCTTTGGCCACCCAAATACCTCATGGAATCAATGGAGCTGGTCAGCCGTCGTTGCCCTCTCCGACTATGCCCAATTTTCAAATGGGCGCTCAAACACCTAATTGCCAACCAGGTGGTGGTGCTGCAGCAGCGGCCGCTGCAGCTGCTGCTGCTGCTGATGGTGTTTTTACAAATGGCATGGCACCGCAAACTCCCTTCCCAGGACGTAAGTAAAACTAAAAAATACTAAAATCATTCCTAATCGGTACAAATATGCACTTTAAACCTATCCCTATCAACACAATTTAAACAATCGCCTGATTAGGTAGAGAAAGAGTAGAAAAGTTTAAATATTTTTTCTATAAATATATTTCTTTGCCACGTTGCATAAAAATTGACCATTTTCCTTAGAATCTGGTATTGAGTTCAGTCAGCAATTTTATTAACAAAGCGAACTTGTAAACATTGTCGTATGCAACGTTAGCGACAACATTGTGAAAGAAACGATTTCTTCCAATACATTTCTTTGTTAAATTTATAAAATATCTTTATATTAGCAAGTAGTTGAAGTTATGCGAACGATATTCTAAACAGCAGACGGAAAATAATTTATAGCGCCTTGGAGACCTAAACCTGCGTCACAAATTTTCGCAAATAAATTCCGACATACACATTTATTACTAGCGTGAGTAGGTTAACTTTCCGCATTTGCTAGCTATGATAATTCACGTCTTTATTAAACAAATAAACAAACTGATCATAAAATATTATAGAACAAAAATGGAAACACAACGAGCAGGGGAATCGGACATTGCTACCATATATTTTAGTCGGCTGTGTGTACATAATAGCTGCTTGAATATATTCTGATCATTTTTTTAGCTGAAAAATGAATTCATTGATATTTTCGATCATTTTCTACTCTCTACTTTCTCTCATCTGTCTGGCAACATGGCGATACCGTGTTGAAAGAACGATATTAGTTTGACAGCGGTACAATCATCGATCCATTTTCGCAGTTAAGCGTTCTTCAGCATTTTGAGACCGTAAGCCAGCCAAGCCATGCTGTATTGATCTGGACAAATGGTCATCAGAAGGCACTATCTCTGGCGAGTACCGTGGAAGCGACAGAACTTTACATTCGAGGTGCAGCAAAGTATCCTAGGAACTTGTGAACGAGCGTTGTCATGCAAGGTGATGATATTGCGTCTATTAACCACTATTGCTGATATCTTGGGCAAAAAACATCCTGCAATTTGTTCAATTGATGGCGGAAGATATCCGCAGTGACAATTTGGTTCGCTACATCTTACTGATCTCGCCATGTGCGCAGCAAAATTTGATGGCCGGGATTATACCGCTTCGGCATCGATGTGGATAGCACTCCTGGATCAACTCATGACTTTTTCCACTTGGAATTCATCGCCAGTCACAATACGCCGCAAAAAACTCTTCCTTTTTTTGTCTGCCAAGCTATGAAACCGTGAGGTTGAAACGGCTAGAAATGGCATTTTCAGTCAATTGCTATGGTAGCTATTTTCCCCCCTTTTGAATCTTTTCCATCGCATGTGCAACTGCTCACCTGTTCAAGAGTTCCTTGAGAGTTTGAGCTTGGTTATCGTCTAATAAGTCCTGCAATTCATTGCCTTCAGACTGTCATCATAAGCTCCTAAAAGTGTTTGATGGCCTTTGACAGCAGATTTCTTTAAATCGAACAACAAAAGTACTGAATACTAAAAATGACATTTTGAACGTTCCATGATTGGCGTCTGTGTACCCAGAATAATTCAGTAATTAACTAAATGGAAAACTATTAATTTATGAAGAAATCGGTCAAAAGTCATCAAACTTAAGCGTGGTATACATTAATAGTACACATTAGTTTATCATGTTTACGAATAGATGCCACTAAAGAAAATATGTCCAAGCGCGTAATAGTTGGAGAAAAATTTCAATAAGCAAAGTATATTAGTAGATTAATACATTTCAGATTTTCGATGCCTTAACGGATGCTAAAACCCAAACGTATATGGAATGTTGATGATGTAATGGACCTATAATATACTAAAGACATATGCTACATGAAAGTCATTTGCAATAATTTAGTTTTCCATTTTTGCGATTCGCAAAGGTGTGAGTTTTATCAAAGGCACGAATCTCCTAGAATGTGGTAATGTTCTACTTAGTGGACATTTGAAAAGAAATTCCAAACTTAATTTTTCTATGATGGTAAGAGAAATATTATTATTCCCTTGTTTGGCAAAAGACAAGCGGACTACATAGTGAAACCGCCGCCACTATTCATCCGCATTACGAATACATATAGTTCGTGGAGTCTCCGATACATAATTACCGCTCGTCCGCCTATCGACCACCGACATGGAAAGTTTTTAAGAATTTTTTTATCCTATTGATGAAATATCTCTCAGCCTAGTCACTAGTCCCCAATTGTATACGGGTGTGTGCGTTTGTGCGTTTGTTTTAAAGCGTTAACAATTTCTTTTTCTTTCTTATTTAAATGAATTATTTAGCCCCTTTACACCTAACTATACCTCCACCACCACCGCAAGGTCTGCCAAATGGAGAGGCGGCTGCTTTGCAGCATGCCTTTGCCGGAATGCCGTCATTTCCCGGAGTAGGTAAGTGATAGTATCTTATGTATAGAATATATATATATATATATATGTATATATATATTTATATGTATATATATATATATCTATATGTATATATATATTTATATGTATATATATATATATCTTATTTAAAAAATAAATTTCATAACACAATTTGGTTACAATTTTTATTTAAATGAAAAAAATATTGTTTTTCTTTATTAATATTTTTAAAGAACAGAAAAAATAAAAATCTGAAAAACCCGCGCAATATACTTTTTCTATTTTTTTTTTTTCGAAAGCATTATTATTATGTTTTTTTTTTTCTTATTAATTTTGAGTTTGTCAAAAGATAAGTAAATTATTTATTTAATGAACTTTTTAGTAATCAATGTGTCATCAAAAATTACTATTAACTTTAATAAAATATTTACATTTGTTGTTTTCGTCTTCTGTTATTTATGATTGTTGTGTCATGCCATACATATTTATAATTGTTAGCATAAAAATTTTCGCAAAAATATTAAATTTCAATATCGATATCAAAGCAAAACGTGTTATATATCTACTCTCTTAATATTTTATGCTTTGGATTTCCGTTTTATATCTCATTTCATTCGTTTTTTTACAACTTTGGCTTTTAAATTATTTTTACTATCTACTGTACAACTACTACTATTACAATTACCGCTACTGATACTACTACGACTACAACTATTACTACCACCGTATTTTATTAATTATTTATTATTAAATGAATCAAAATATAAATAAAATAAATAAAAGCGAACCGAAGACGACGACACACGTATATTATACGTATAAATAATTTTTGTTTTTATTTATTTTTAAATGTGTTCTGTGTATTGGAAAATTTTCTGAATATCAGAAACACAAAATCGTTAAGCAAAACATTATTAATTATAATAATATTAACGTTAAATGTTAAATGTTTTTTTTTAACATATTACATAAAAAGCTTAACTCCAATAAATAAATAAAAATACAACAACTTACTTACTTTTAGCCAAAATATCTGTATAATAAATGTGAACTTATTGAAGAAAAAAAATAAAAAAAAAATAAAAAAACGAAATGCAAAAAAAAATATTCTCTTCATGTATTCACCTTAAGGAGAATCCAATATAACCACCATCTTGAAAAAAAATATATTATTGTTCGTGAATGCATCATCAGTACGATGATCAAGATATAATGACTTTTACATAAATATTAGATAGTCTGGAAATTTGTCGCGGTTTTTCACTATGATATAAAATAATATTTTATATATATAGAGTAAACTTTTTGAGGTTATATATGTTTGCCATTTTTCAAGGAAATTCGTTATCTCATCCCTCATAAAATTTCTGATATTTTCTTTATATGAATTCACAAAAGTTCTGCTAGATCAAAAATTTTGTGCAGATCAAAAGAGATGACAATCTGATGTCAGCACTGTATGGTAAAATATGTAGTAAAAACATATATTTTTCTCGATTGACCAATTATTTGGTTAATTGCTCCCAGTGTACTTTCGAATCAATTGTCTTGTTATGCGGCAGAAGCTCTTAATACACAATTCCTTTATAATCCCATCATACTAACAGCAAAATCCGATTTTGGTGTTGTTCAAGATAGTTTTGGCCACGATCTGTTGCGTTCCATATTTTTGTATAGAATGCATTTTTCATCATTTAGGAATGGGTCGTTTTGGTTTCATTTTAACAGCATATCGCAGATATTAAGGCGTTGTGTTAAGTGGATTTTTTTCATGCGAACACCAACTGTTGTTTTGAATGAATTAAGTTTTTCTGCAATCTCCCGAATCATCATTATGTGTCGATCAGTCACAATCATAAACCCTTCAGTTAATCTTCATCGATAGTATTCGGGACTACACTAGAACACAGTAAAGCTTTAACTGAAAAATTTCCAAAATCAAATTTCGCAAAACAATGTGTCTTATACGTTCACTGCTGTAACGAAAGCGATTACTTTTAGAGTTTTTTACAAGATAAATAAATATAAGTCTGATCTACATAACCTGTAATCTATACCTTTAACCTTCTTTCTGAAAGAAGTTATTTTAACCAGCAAGAAATTTCCGGACTAACTAGTACTTTTATTAAAATTTTATAGCATTAGGTTGTTACGTTTACATGATAATGTCCTTAAAACTGTATTTCTAACATATTCGCGTTTTTATATTGTAGAGATAATAGATGACGTGAAGTTTGTATCCTATCAAAAGTCACGTTAAAAATGTATATAGACAAGGCCCTACGACAATTTTTCACATTGATGAAAAGAAAAAGCTTGAAGACAGACAAACTACGAAATACGATCTACTATAGCGGCACAAAAATTCGTTAGAGTAAAAGAAAAAAGTACGCGAGCTCGAATCATTCTTCAGCATAGTAATACATGCTCTTACATATCGGGCTAATTTATTTAACATAATCCATTTGATATATGGTATATTGACTTTCATCTAAAATCTGATTGTTTTCTTTATTAAATAAATCTACGTGAAAAGACGGCGAACAGACGGTGTTACGAAGACGATTTTCGAAGCGGATAAAGTGTTGAAAATCCTATTTTGAAAACAGCTGGCTAGTTATGGGCAAATTCCAACCGTATCGATATTCAAAAAGAGAGTTTTTCTAACGTTAAGCACAAAGCGAAGACACCGCCGGGGGAAACCATTTTGTAAACGATATAATGAAATTTTGAAATATTCTAACATTTTTAGGAATTTTTCATTTACTTTCTATTACTGCAAATATATATTTAAATTTAGTTTTTCAAAGGTCATAGGTCAATTGTATTGACACTATATGCTTATGCGTGATTCAGAATGTCATGTATCGATCGAGCTTATGAAATCTCTAACGATAAATAAAGATCTAAGATAAAAGTCGCAAATTTACATGGCCAGGTCTTAATCTGATCCGTCGATGGTGGTTATGCAAGATAGTTGAAATTTTTCCCCATTTTTCGTTTTCATATAAAAAAATTCACATTTATTGTAAACAGAAATATTTACGTTATTTATATTGTTTCGTATGAATTATATTTTATGTATATGTTAAAGAAATACTATTTAATTTGTTCAATTGTTAAATAATGTTTTTAGTTTAAAATATGTTTTCTCGTATTTTCTTTCTATCGTTTAACTTATAATACATATTTACAAATTAACTTAATTGTGTTGTGTTGTCTTTTAAATGTTTCAAATTTTTTTGTGTAAAACCAAACAAACGTTATTTATATAATGCAGCCTTCCCCGCCGTATTTGGACAATTTCCACAAGCTTTACCACCACCTATAGCAGCGGTTGCACCCGCTCAACGTGAAGGTAAGCTCTATCTCTCAATGTTGTTCTCTTAATAAATCTTATTTCGCTTCTTTTTTTTATTTATTTATTTTTTTTTTATTTATTTAAGTTTCCCATCAAAACTCACTTACTCGCCAATTAAAATGATAAGAAAAAAATTTCAATTATTAATAATGAGAGAAAGTAAATAAATTTTGGATTCGAATTATTTGAAAAGTTCTCTCTAACTACATCGACACCTGCCCATTTAATCGGTCAATTGTATCTCGAACTATTATGTTAGATTTAAATATTAATGAAAATCAAATTTTGGGTTTTTTTCTTTTTAGTACTTGGGCCGAATCTTTTATCGTTCAACGGTTACCATAGCTCAAATTAATTGCAAAAATAATTGCAATTGTTTTTTTACCTACTACAAGTATACGCGTAAGCGTAATTACAGTATTTGTACAATCTTTTACAATTTTTGTAATTCGTGAGAGCATTAGATGAGAGGACGACCGGACATTATTAAATTGATCAAAATCCAAATTCTATCGAAAAATAAATTATGTTTATGCGATACATACGAAATATTTATAAGACAAGATAAGAAATATTTTATTTTTAATACTTTTTTATACCCTACACGCTTACGGGGTGTATTAAATTAGTCCGGACGTATGTAACAAGCTGAAGAGCTTAAGATAGACCCACCTTTTATCATACCGATCGATTCCGAATCATAATCGGAATTGATCTAAGCTTGTCTGTCCGTCTATCCGTCTGATATCTGTCCATGTGAATT